TCGTGAATACTTACAACCCACTGAACCAGTTATAAACTTAGAGATATTAGAAAGTGATAAGGAAACAGTAATAAAAATTGATTAGTTGGAAAAGTTAAAGACAGCAACATATAGTTCAGCTCCTTCTTCGAATATTGTAGCCAGTGATCACAATTTTTTTTTACTTTCATTTACTCTGTAAACTAATACTATTAATATTTAATTTGGTCTGACTTCAAGTTTATGTAAAAATTCTGTTGCAAAACGCCTATCTCTTGTAACTATCCATGGTGTATTTGGATTTTGTTTGCAACTAACTTGTGGAAAAAATAAGCATAATCAACTTTATCTGGAAATTATAATATAATCTAAGTATAACTCTGAATCACAAAGAAGAGAAGTATTGTTAAAATTATTTTTCTTACCTGTAATGAAATTAATTTAGATAAATTACTTATCCCAAAGTACTGATACTTATCCCTCTCTCTCTCTCTCTCTCTCTCTCTCTCTCTCTCTCTCTCTCTCTCTCTCTCTCTCTCTCTCTCTCTCTCTCTCTCTCTCTCTCTCTCTCTCTCTCTCTCTCTCTCTCTCTCTCTCTCTCTTTTCGTAACCGCTCCCGTGGCCTAGTGGTGAGAGCGTCCGCCTCAGATGCGGGAGGGCGGTTGCGGATTCAATCCCCGGTCGAGTCATACCAAAGACTTTTGTAGTAAGAGCTACCTCGCTTGACGCTCAGCATTAAGAGATTAGTATTAGGACTGGTCGGCCAGGTGTCAGGATAATGTGACTGGGTGGGACATCATACTACATGTATGCGGCATGATGCCCCAGTGCAAGACATCACTATAAACTGCAACACTGCAGACATCGTAGCGATATGACTTAAAAATTGTTAAAGCTACGTTAAAAATCATAATCACATCAAATCACTCCACTCTCTCTTCGTTCTTGCTGTCAGGAACTACCTAATTCTTAGCTTTGCGTCTTTCACCATTTTATATACATCAACTAAATTCTTAAATTTATCCTTATGATTGTCACTATCTCTCCTAATTGGTTTCAGTCGCATGAAAATGCCTTTTTTGTCATCACTACTGTGGAGATCAATATAAGGTGTTTCAGCTTACGCTAATCTAGAAATTCAGGATGCTGATGTTAACGGTATTTTTTTATTATCCAAGAGCAATGTTAGATATTTTATTCTGTTGATATCCTATGTGTATTTCTATTTATTTATTGACCAACTTCGTCTATATAGCTAACATCGCCCATATAATTTATCATAATTATTTTGATCCTTCTTGCTCTATGGAAACATTCAGTTATATCATTACATTTAATTGATAAGTCAAGTTGAACAGTTACATAACTAAAGATCTAAAGAATTCAAGTGATTAGAATTTTAAAAAGGGTTCAACGTCATCAAACAGATATACAAAACTACATAGGACTATGTTTTTTATAGAAATGCATTGTATTTTCATGTGTAACATATTTATCCGTATATACTATATATGTAGCATTTGTGAAATACAGCGGTCTGGCATAGGTATGCAAAGCAACTTGAATTTCTAACCTGCTCATCTTTGAACGTTCGACAATAACTAGATGTTGTGTTGACTGCCACCATACTAACTTCTGATTTGGTGAACATTTACAATGTTTATTGCTCCACATAAACTTTTGATACACATTGTTTCATATATTTGTGCGATCGTTACATCTGTGAAATTAGCTTTACATAACATTAATTCTTGAATGATTTTTTATAAAAATAAAAAAAACATGTTCGAAATAATTGTGTAGCAAGAGACTTGTAACTCTAAAGTGTAAATGTTGTGAAACACGCCCAGAAATAATAACTCAGAACTACCTTAAAGGTAATATTGTGCCACAATACTTTGGAGAGATTGTTGAAGGTCAAAAATTAACATTTATTTTAAAGATTTAATTTGTTGACAAGTTAGGACAGATAACACGAGGCAATAACTAGTTTAATCTGAACAGAGAACATGTAATGACCACAGGTAAATTTTCAGCTACAAAACCGTCTTTACTTCTTTGATGTTATTTCCACGAATAAGTTATTACCGATATACAGTATTACAATGCCAAAATCATATACAGTATTATAATACCAAAATCATATACAATAGTACAATGCAAAAATCATATAAGTTCTACAATGCAACAATCATATACAGTATTACAATGCCAAAATCATATACGTTATTATAATGCCAAAATCATATACAATATTACAATGCCAAAATCATACACAGTACTTACAATGCAAAAATCATACACAGTATTACAATGCCAAAATCATATACGTTATTATAATGCCAAAATCATATACGTTATTATAATGCCAAAATCATATACAGTATTACAAGGTCAAAATCATATAACTATTACAATGCAAAAATAATATACAGTATTATAAAGCCAAAATTATATACAGTATTACCATGCCAAATCATATACAGTATTACCATGCCAAAATCATATACAGTATTACTATGCCAAAATCATATACAGTATTACCATGCCAAAATCATATACAGTATTACAATGCCAAAATCATATACAGTATTACAATGCCAAAATCTTATACAGTATTACAATGCCAAAATATCACAATGCCAAAATCATACTTCTGGGGAAAAGAAAAACGACGTACGATCTACTCAGTTTAGTCAAGTATGATTCAGTCACTATTATTTCAATATTTACGATTTTGTTTCCACGAGAGATTTTTTTTTTGTCTATCAGAACTATTCGTAACATTCCTAACATCAGTATAAATCATACTTACTCAAAATGACGAATGATATGCACAGTTTAATCATGTTTAGCCAGACATGCAGCTCTGTCAGTCAGTCAGTCTGTCTGTCTGTCTGTCTGTCTGTCTGTCTGTCTGTCTGTCTGTCTGTCTGTCTCTCTCTCTCTCTCTCTCTCTCTCTCTCTCTCTCTCTCTCTCTCTCTCTCTCTCTCTCTCTCTCTCTCTCTCTCTCTCTCTCTCTCTCTCTCTCATTTCCTACAGCAGTTTGAAGGTAGATGCATGTTTATTGACGGGAAGATTCCTTGAGCGTTTTCCAGCAACAACTACACAGGTTCAGGAAACAGGTTGAACTAACATATGTCAATCTTTACTCTGTTTCAAAATAAAAAAATTCAAATGAACATTATATTACATTGAAAATATTACGCAATTTATAACATGAACAAATTTGAAGGAATAGTCATTCATTTTAGCAACTTGAATTTGCTGATCAGTATGTATGTATGTATGTATGTATGTATGTATGTATGTATGTATGTATGTATGTATGTATGTATGTATGTATGTATGTATGTATGTATGTATGTATGTATGTATGTATGTATGTATGTATGTATGTATGTATGTATGTATGTATGTATGTATGTATGTATGTATGTATGTATGTATGTATGTATGTATGTATGTATGTATGTATGTATGTATGTATGTATGTATCCAGTGACTTTCTTAAATCAGTCTTTTCGAGTAAAGGAGAACTGATGATTCATACAAATTTTTCTCTTAGACACTTGTTCAAGTTTTTGTCTAATATATTGCATGTTACACTTTCTACAGGTTTTTAAATAAATAGCATCAGTTGAATGCAGTCAGTGTCATGTAGATAAAGCATTAATTTGAATTGAAAGTACTAAAATAAGTACTTACTTTTATATTTGTACATTGAGAGCAATGACGTCTGTTATTCTTAGATGATGATAAACAGCTTTTTATATTTTTGTCAGTTTAGTTCTCATTAAAAAATCTTGGAAATTCTTATGTCTGCTATACTCAAGAATTGGCTTGCTTTTGTAATGTATTTTTACGCTGTGTTTATTTTATAAATTTAAGAGACTCCAGTATGTAATAATTACAAGTTCTATATTAGGTAATAAAAGATTACATTGCATTTTGAAATTAACTATATTTTTTTATCGAACATTTTGGTGCGTTTAAAAACTCATGATGAGTCAACATACGGTCAACGCAAAATCAATCATCCGTATAGGATAATCTCTATTTTGGAAATACGTTATTAATTGATTCAAAGAATTTTGTAATAGGAAATCATCTCAAATGATGCGTCACTATCGGGCTATATGGTATACCGTTTTTATATTACCCGGAATGACTAGTTGGATAATAGTTTCTTTGACATGAACATTTGAAAAATAGGGTTATTAAAAGACGTTATCAGTTTTAAAAAGAAAGAAGCATACATATTCTTTGCATATTTGTTCATTTACAACTTGGATAATTAAATTGTTAAGTTTAATAAAACGTGTTAGTTTTGCTTCTTTTCTATTAATTAGGTCTGTGACCATATAATCATTGCACTGTACACGGATATATGCTAATATCGTTTGATAATATCGTGTAAAATTAGAAATTTACATCGTTTGGATAGTTTGTTGAAGTTTGTTTGCTTTTTATACTGAGAGTTTAAAAGATAATATTTTTTGGTTGGTGTTTTGTGTTCATCGCACATGGGTGACGGCAAAACTAGTGGTGAACGAACTCTAGGAAAACCCTGAAAGATCCACCGAACCACCGACCAACGGGAAGCTTTCTCAAATTCCCACATTGGCCGAGACCGATACTCGAACTCGTATATATATATATATATATATATATATATATATATATATATATATATATATATATATATATATATATATATATATATATATATATATATATACACATACATACACACACACAATGATCTTAAACTTAAACTTCAACTGAAAAGAAACTTACACTGTGAACAACAATTTTAATACTTGTTACTACGACTGCCGGTTCTATATTATTATTATTATTATTATTATTATTATTATTATTATTATTATTATTATTATTATTATTATTATTATTATTATTGTTGTTGTTGTTATTATTATTATTATTATTATTATTATTATTATTATTATTATTATTATTATTATTATTATTATTATTATTATTATTATTATTATTATTTATTATTTATTATTATTATTATTGTTAGTAGTAGAAGTTGTAGTAGCAGTAGTAGTGGTAGTAGTAGTAGTATTAGTAGTAGTAGTAGTAGCAGCAGCAGCAGTAGTAGTAGTAGTAGTAGTAGTAGTAGTAGTAGTAGTAGTAGTAGTATCAGTAGTAGTAACTCAAGCATCGAAAAATTATTTTTCGGTGTTTCCATGGAAGGGATTCAGTGAAAGGGTACATGTAATGAAAATATATCTTGAAATTGGTTTTAAAAAATCATAAATGTGTCCTAAGCAATGCAAGAAAGAAATCGAATTGGTTCGAATGTTGCTCGTTTGGTGTGAGTCAGCCATTTTATCACACTTAACCGGTCAGACCCATATTCCACAGAGGTTTGCAAAAAATAAAAAAAAAAGAAAGAAAAAAGTGCAACTTTTTTAGCTTTGTGACTAATGCCATAGTGCTAAAATTAAAAATTATTTATCCACAGTACATAGTGTCCATGGTTGTTCAAATGTTCAGCAATGAATGTTTTTTTTATAATTATTATTATTAATTACCATCTGGTGGAAACCAACGTTCTTGAGAAAATTATGGCAAGGCTCTGTTATGTTATAGATTTTTGGTTTCATCCATCAATGGTATTATATCGTGATAAAATTCTATAACGAGAGAAATATAA